TGCAGTGGACCCCCTCTGTGAGCCCCCCAGCTGCAGTGGACCCCCTCTGTGAGTTCCCCCCCAGCTGCAGTGGACCCCCTCTGTGAGCGCCCCCCAGCTGCAGCGGACACCCTCTGTGAGCGCCCACTAGCTGCAGCGGACCCCTCTGTGAGTTCCCCCCCAGCTGCAGTGGACTCCCTCTGTGAGCCTCCCCAGCTGCAGCGGACCCCCTCATCTCCCCGGTCTCAGCAGCACACTGCAGCATTGCCTCCCGACTCTGAACTGAGCTCTCATGCTCTTCTGTCCACTCCACTTTCTCTAGAGCACATGACACTCTAGGGTTTTTCCTTTTCTTCTATTTATTTGTTCACTAATCTATCTTTCTATTTATTTATAGAGAGGCTCTTACCATGTAGCCTAATGGTATGTTCATTGGGCTGGCCTCAAACTCACAGAGATCCACCCACCTCTGACTCCAGAGTACTGGGATTAAAGTCATGAGCCACTATATATGGCTTTTAAAAAGTTTTTTTTAAGGTTTTATTAATTTTATTTATTTATTTATTTATTTATTTATTTATTTATTTATTTATTTTCAAGACAGAGTCTCTCTGTGTAGCCTTGGCTATCTTGGAACTCCATCTCTAGGCCAGGCTGGCCTCACACTCAGAGACCTACCTGCCTCGGCTTCCTGAGTCCTGGGATTAAAGGTGTGCACCACCACCACTTGGCTTTAAGTGTTTGTGTGTATGAGTATGCCTGTGTGTGTATTGGTGCCTGCGGAGGCCAGCAAAAGGCACTGAATCCCCTGAAGCTAGAGTTATAGGTTGTTTTGAGACACCTGACATGGTTGTTGGGATTGAATTGGGGTCCTCCAGAATAGCAGCAAGTGCTTTGAATCTCTGAGCTATCTCTACACCCTTTTTTATTTTATTTTATTTTATTTTATTTTAAAGACAGGGTATTACTAATTATCCAGGCCAGCTTTTTTGGACTCAGGCAATCCTCTCAAGCAGCAAGCTTGCATATCGTTATATCTGCCTAAAATAGACAGACAGACAGACACACACACACACACACACACACACACACACACACACACAAACACACACTATTTTGGTGAGTGGCTAACATGGGTGCTGGGGTCTGAACTTGGGTCTTCTTGAAGAGCAGTACACATTCTTAACCACTGAGACATCTCTCCAATTGTAACGCACACACACACACACACACACACACACCGTTTGTGTGTGTGTGTGTGTGTTTGTGTTGTGTTGGGATTGAAATTCAGGCTTCATGTATGCCTAGCATATATCATATTACTGAGCTACACTCCAGCTTTATAATTTTTTCTTGTTAACTTCCTGTACTATTAGCTTATGAGAGCAAGAATTGTTTTTTGGTGGTTTGTTTGTTTTTTTGCAATCCCCATAACAGTCTTTCCAGTACCTAGAACAATATCCAAATCACATATTAGGTTTTTAAGTTGTTGAATAAATGAATGTATCTATGTTCATTCATGCATCAGAGGCTGGAGCCACAATTGTGAGCAGAAACAGGCACTTTCTCTGCCTGGTGGCATTCACCATTTAGAAGGTGATAGCTGGGGTGCTAAAGAGATGCCTCAGAGGTTAAGAGCACTGGCTGCTCTTCCAGAGGACCTGGGTTCGTTTCCCAGCAACCACATGGCAGCTCACATCTGTCTGTAACTGCAGTTCCAGAGGATCTAGCACCCGCACACAGACATACATGCAGGCAGAACACCAATGCACATAAAATAAATAAAAATAAATCTTAAAAGAAGGTGATAGCTGGGGAACTAAACGCCTATAAGACCGACTATAATATTGTGCTAAGTCCAGTGAAGGGAACTGGATTTGGTACTGGGATGTGAGTCTTACTGTGGTGGGGAGGAGTCAGGCTTCACTGAAAGCGCAATGTAAAACCCAGACTCTCAAAGGAAATCAGCACCGTTCTGTCGTCGTTCCTCCGAAAGCACTGACCTCTGAGCAGCTCGCAGGTCCCCGGCGTGTAAGCGACCTGCTTACGGCAGCGCCGGAACCCGTTTCCTTTGGTCACGGCGTCCACCCTCTCCTGTGAAGCCATGGGAAGGCCCTAGGAGGGAGAGAAGCAATGACCAGCCCTCGTCTGGCGTCGCGGTCCCGACCTCTCATCGCCAGCACCCTGGGAGTCTGAGGAGCTGGTGCCCGAACCCTTGGCTCCGGACAGCGCAGTGACCACAGTCTCCATCGTGACTGTCCCGGACGCAGCGCTCACCCTAAGCGTGGCAGCGCCCTCCTCAAAGAGATCCTCGGGGATGCCAGTGTGTCAGTGCCCGCACCAAGCGCATCGGGTTACTATGGTAACTAGCGCACACGCCCCCCCCCGCCACGCAGGCGCATTTGCACCTGGCCCTTGGCGGCCTCCCGGAAGCGATTGCTTCTGGGTCACGGCGCAGGCGCGCAGAGCACGCGTAGTGCCGGAGGGACGTGAGGCGCGCGGTTTGCTCGTCTGAGCTCCGTCCGGACCGGCCAGTGCGGAGAAGGCATCATGTCAGACAACGAGGACAAGTGAGCGCGCGCTCGGAGGGGAGGGGGTCGTGGTGCGAGCCGGGCGCTTGGAGCACAGGCTAGCCCAGCTCCTGGGTCTGTGGGGCGAAGTCTTCAGCACTTCCTCCCTCGCGGTGCAATGGGGGACGGTGTGCAGGGTGAAGCCCTTGCTTGCCCTCCGGGCACCCCCTTTCCAGAAGGGAATGCGGGTGGTAGTTGGTGCCATCGTGGAAACAGGGAGGAAGAAGCAGTCCAGAGAAGGGCCTGGAAGGCGGGGGGCAGGCGCGGGCTTGTAGCAGAGGTGGCCAGAAGTGAGGCTGAACTCTGGGGAACACGAAGTTTAGTGTTGTTTGCGGCAGGGTCCCACTCTGAACCCCGCACTGGCCGGGAGCTCACTCTGTAGCTCAGGCTGGCTTTGAATTCGCCACAGTTCTCCTGCTTCAGCCTCCCGAGTGTTGGCATGAGCCGCCAGGCTCGACCGAATTCTGGACAGGTTTTTCTTTTATTTATTTGGAGACCACGTCTCACTGTGTACCAGGTGGTTCGAATTTAGAGATCCATCCACCTCTGTCTTCCAAATGATGGGATTAAAGCATGAACTACCGTGCCTGGCCCCTGGTATACACATACATACATACATACATACATATGTGGGGGACGGGCAACACAGCCTGACCACACAGCTGCCATGACCGGATTAGAGGCCCCAGACACAGCTTCTGTGACAGGCTTACTGGCAGGCAACACCCGGATCCAGGAAAAGCCATAAGCTGACCCCACCCGGGGATAGCCTGCATCTAAGGCCTGTACTCTTAGCACTGGGCAGGCTAAGGCAGGAGTATTGTCGTGAGCTAGAAGTCAGCCTGAGTTACATAGTGTACAGGGTGAGACTGTCTCAAAAACAAGCAAACAAACAAACCACAGGCGAAAGTGCAATGGATGCAGAGATGGGAGTGTTTACCAGGGTAGTGATTGCCAGTGGAGAAGAGATCGCTGGTGGGTGACTGGGGAAAAGAGGGGAGCCCAGGAAAGGCTGAGGAGGAGCCCCCCAGAGTGGGAAGCAGAAGTGGGGAGCCGGGTCTGCTAGCTGTTAGATGAGTGGAAAGGATTTAGCAATGGAAAGATCATCAGTTAAGTTGGTGCTGGCACACCTTTAATCCCAACACTCAGGAGGTGGATCTCCGTGAGTTCAAGGCCAGCCTGGGCTACAGAGAGAGAGTTCCAGGACAGCCACGGCTACAGAGAGAAACCCTGTCTCAAAAAAACAAAACAAAAATAAAGGCAGTCAGTGAGCAGAGCTGGGATGACAGGAGTCTTATTGAGGGGAGATTATGACCGTGGGAAGAGAAGACTCACAGGTAGTGAGTTTGGGCCGCTCCTTCACACATTTACACCATAGGAGGCTGATGAGATTGATCCGTGGTTGAAGGAGCTTGCTGCATAAGCCTGACAACCCAGGTTTGATCCCTGGAACCTGTGGTAGAAGGGGAGAGTGGGAAAGGTTGTCCTGGTGGTATTTGTGGGCCTGCACAAAAACACACCTCATGCACACATTAACAATTTTTTTTTTTTTTTTTAACTGAGACAGGGTTTCTCTGTGTAGTTTTGGTGCCTGTCCTGGATCTCGATCTGTAGACCAGGCTGGCCTCGAACTCACAGAGATCCACCTGGCTCTGCCTCCCGAGTGCTGGGACTAAAGGTGTGTGCCACCACCGCCCGGCAAATAAAAATATTTTTAGAAGCCTGGTAACTGGAAGCCATGAGGATGACAATGTCACCTGGCCCTTAATCCCCCCACTCCACCACCACCATAAGGGAACATGGAATTAGGCTGTAGCAGGAGGGAGAAGAGAATAATGTGTTTTTTGGTTTTTTTTTCCAGGGGCGAGGTGGGGTAATGGAGGTAATGTTTTGGTGCTGAGAATCAAATGCCCAGGGGTTTCATGCATGTTATGTATACACTACTTTTGAGCTACACCTCCAGCCCTGAAGTAAATTTTGTTTTTGTTCTCAAGACAGAATCTCACTATGAAGCACAGGCTGTGCTTAAAATCCTGAGTCTCCTACTCCCATGGTCCACATGCCAGGAGTACAGGAGTGTCCTATCGCACTCACAGATCTATAGTTTTCCCCTTCCGATAGAGCTAAAACTGGAGGGATGGCTTAGTGAATTCCAGCACTCGCTCTCCCAGGGACTAAAAGCTCAGCTCCAGCTTCAGGGGATTTGACACCCTCACTCTGGCTTCCACAGGCACACGTATAAACACATAGGTAAACCTTTTAAGAAAAAATCCCTAGGCCAGAAAAGTACTTGTTTACATGCTGACTGAAGTGTTTCTCATGAGGGAAACTGCGGTGAAGGTGTCCTAACATCGTTTGGGGGCAGATGGGACAAGATGGAAGGCATGAAGTGAGGTAGAGTTTGATTCCTTCATTGAGATTTGCTGGTCCCTCCTGCATCACAGCCGAGGGGCCCCGATGCGTCCCTCGTTCTGGCGGGTGATATTCTAACCACTAGTTTCTTCTGGCTTAGTTTCGATGGCGATGACTTTGACGATGTGGAGGAGGACGAAGGACTAGATGACTTGGAAAATGCCGAGGAGGTCAGTAGCCACCCTCAGCTCCCTACAGCGCAGCCCGGATGCTAGACAGTGGGGTGGGTGACGGTTGCCGAAAGGTGTTGCCGTTCCTTTTCCAGGAACGTGTCTCCCACAGATGCACTCAGCCAGGTCTCGGGATTGTTGTATCTTGTCATGTATGGGCTTTTTACACTTGTTCTTGGTTTATAGCCCTGGAACTCTCACTATTTAAACCAGGCTGACCTCTAGCTCAGAGAAATCAGCCTTCCTCTGCCACCTGAGTGATGTGATTAAAATCATGGGCCCAGGTAGAAATAGCTTTGGTCTCTTATTCACTACTCTATCCCAAACACTTAAAATACCATTGCTGAGTGTAAGCACTCAGCAAACAGTTATTATTATTATTGTTTTTTGTTTGTTTGTTTGTTTGTTTTTGTTTTTGTTTTTGTTTTTGTTTTTTTTTTTTTGAGACAGGTTTTCTCTGTGTAGTTTTGGTGCCTGTCCTGGATCTCATTCTGTAGACCAGGCTGGCCTCGAACTCACAGAGATCCACCCGGCTTTGGCCAGATTATTATTTGTGCATGCGTGTGTGCATTGCAGAGGCTGGAACCCAGGACCCATGTGTCCTCCATCTCTCCTGAACAGATGTGCAGGTGTGTGGCGGGTTGTTGCTCAGTGTGGGTGTGACTCTTTCTCCTTACCCTGTGCAGTCACTGGACCCACTGACTCAGTTGCAGTCTGTGAAAGATCTGGTGTTTGTGCAACTTCCTGTCTAGGCTGTGCTCGTCATGTACAGGGCCAGCTTTCTTTCGGGCAGGGCAGCTGGCCCTAGAGTCCTGAGCACAGTCCTCTCTACTGCCAGCTTGGAGACGTTGGTCAGGTTGGCTGATTCTGGAATCCCCGGGATAGGGACCATGGTCCCTGCCTCCCAGAGTTGTGAGGCGTGGGTCTTAGTGAGAGGTTGTACGTTCTCGACATCCAGGAAGCGTGGGTGGTGGCGAGTGCCAATGTCGTCGTCACCCTCCCTGGCCCAGGGCTTGCCTGAGCTCTCCTCTGTCTTCTTGGTCCAGGAAGGTCAGGAGAACGTTGAGATCCTCCCCTCTGGTGAGCGACCGCAGGCCAACCAGAAGCGCATCACCACTCCTTACATGACCAAGTACGAGCGAGCCCGTGTGCTGGGCACCCGCGCTCTCCAGATCGCGTAAGTGTTGCCTCTCCACTGTCTTCTCTGTCAGCTGGGCCACAGTGAGCCCCAGCCTGGTGATCTGCCCAGCCCCCGTGTGCCCGGCATCGTGCTGGGCTCAGGGAGCCTGTGGTGTGATGTAAAAAACAGGCCATGAAAGCCGGGCAGTGGCGACGGTGGTGGTGGCACACACCTTTAATCCCAGCACTCGGGAGGCAGAGCCAGGCGGATCTCTGTGAGTTCGAGGCCAGCCTGGGCTACAGAGTGAGATCCAGGACAGGCTTCAAAGCTACACAGAGAAACCCTGTCTCAAAACAAACAAGAAAAGAAGTTGGTCATTCAGAACACCGTAGAGTCTGCTGCTGTCAGGGACATATCCGAAGAGAGTGTCTTCGACACTCCTGTGCTTCCCAAACTCTGTGCCAAGCAGCATTACTGCGTGGGCTGTGCCGGTCATAACAAGGTAGTCAGGACTCTGATCTCGTGAAGCCTGGAAGGACGGAACACCTCCACCACCATTTAGACCTGCTAGTGCACCATGACCTCCACCAAAGCCTATTAAAGACAGAAGAAAAAAACACCTTGGAAAAATAAAAGGGGGCTTAAACTTAAAAAAAAAAAAAAATTGAGCCTGGTGGTGGTGGTGGTGGTGGTGGTGGTGGTGGTGGTGGTGCATGCCTTTAATCCCAGCAGGGATCTCTGTGAGTTTGAGGCCAGCCTGGTCTACAAATAGAGGTCCAGGACAGCTAGGACTGTTACACAGAGAAACCCTGTCTTGGAAAAAAAAAAATTGGCCCTGTGAGGTAGCACATGTCTTTAATCCCAGTACTTAGGAGGCAGAGGCGTGTGGATCTCTGTGAGTTCCGAGGCCAGTCTGGTCTACAGAGTGAGTTCCAGGACAGCTAGGGTTACATATTGAGACACTATCTTAAAAACAATAACAAAAAGCCCAAACCACAACAAAAAACCTATGCAAACAAATGAAAACAAAAGCAAGCCTCCCTACCCCTCCCCCCAAGAAATACTAGACACATCCCAGGGATCAGGAGCGTCTCTGCGGCCCACAGCACAGGGATAGCGCAGGTACAGGACATTGCCAGTTTGCTGA